TCCTTTCGAACGATGCGTACTTCATGGGGTATGTATGAATAACTAGTTGACGTCGAGTGTTACAAACAGGCACGGACGGAGGCTTTCTCATACCACCCAAAAAGCTAACAGATTCACCACAAAAATTAGCCTGTTTGCAGCGAAAACAGGGACTTTGCTAGTACGACCAGCTCAAGTGGAATATGAAGAGAAGACTCCCTCCGATAAAATAGCTAAAGTGAAGGGAGAAAGACCACTATTTACCCTTTCATGCCTGCTTTCTCCAGAATTGAGGGGGATTCTTCTAGAAAGTCCTCTTAGTTGTTGTATTTAGCAACAAAATTAGGTTTCAGAAAAATCTGAGTCGTGGTATGAATATCATATTCATTTGATGAGAGAGAGCGTTTGGCGCTCGCGCTAAGAGCGCTGTGGTTATCATATCCATTTAGCGCGCGCTCCTACGCACGAGTTTTGGGCAATTTCACCGCAGACTAGTACGATATTCGTACTCCCCGGAAAGAACTGATCTTTGGGAAAAGTATTCAGCAACCGTGTGATTTTGGGTTTGTTGGCCTTTTAGGGCCATCACCTGTGGCTCGGACGCCAGACACTTCCGCGTCGAAGGGATGCGTTATTTACGTATGTTCTGCGGGTCAAACAGCTACCTTAGGTAAATTTTGGTAAAATTCAACAGCGAATACGAACCTCGAGAAAAATCCACCCGACATTGAAAAATTGGGCAGTAAAAGGTAAGTAGTGTCGAAGAGAGTTTCGATTTTGAATTTTCATGTTTGGCTTTGGAGGGAGGTTGGTTTAGTGAAGTTAGGGCTGCTCAACACACGGGATTATTGGTTCAGGATCGACTTTGCCCAGGCCAACTAAAAACCCATCAACCGACTCTAGATAGATGAGCGACTCCAACCCCGCAGAAACGCTTTATATGTTGTTACGGTGAAACTCTCCAGTTCGGGGGGGCCACTCCATTGCTATCTTATCCGTAGTACTAGAGAGCAGTTCTTTGGGCTATCGAACACTACGGATAAGATAATAAGTGAACGACTCATTTCGAGCGTACTTTTGATAAGGACCGGTGGATGTCCTACATTCCACACTACCTGCCCACATCCCATCCACTTTTCTGCACAGGTGATCCACCCTGGAGCTCCTGCACCCTTAGCCCTTTGCGGAGGTGTCCTTTCTCCTGGTCCAGGACCGTTCCCTTGGGTCATGGCAGGCGGAAATGTGAAAACGTTTCAGGGTTTCTCACCATTACCACCGTATGGGAGGGTTCACCGCGCGGCCATTACAGCCGATAGTTTATCACGAAATTCTTACTTTAAATGGTCGCATTACGTGTCGGAGCCTTAATCCTTATCTTGAGCTGTGGGAGAAAACTGAGGAGTGGCCCTCCCCGACACTGAGTGTTCACCGGTATTGTCCCTTATTCGCTGGCCATTTGAAACCGTGTGCCCTGCACATCAGTGCCCCCCCCCCCCTAGGTCATCGTATAAGGCTAAGCGCATTATCAGGTACCAACGAAAGCCAAATGCATAGCTTGTGCGAGCATATAGGGCTGTTTTGTGCGTATTACTGTGATGAGAGCATAATCTTGTCCGCATATATAAATCTTTAGAAGCCGTATAATTCTCTACAAGGCCTTTGACTTCTGAAAACAATGCCTAGGGCCAACCTTGTTAATACATCCAAAGAAAGAAGTGGCAGGGACGTCATCTGGCACGTCGAGTCCAGGTGGCAGGCCACCTACGAAAAGGTCGGTGCCTGGTTCGAATGTCTTCATTTCATTCTGAACGTTGATGTTAGGCAATCTAATGAGTTTGGCCATTGAAAAGAAAACTTCCGAAATTCAAAGAGAACCTTTCGTTCGTACATCTGTTGATTTATAAAATAGTGAGTTGTGGAGTCGTTGCGAGATAGTACTACTGTGTACTCAACACCAGGTTCTATCGGTGCAGTTCGTATTTCTTCACGACCTGAAGGTAGAAGATGGAATGTGAGTAACCTTGAAGAAAGAAGAGTCTAAGGGGAACTGGGAATGTTAAAACAATCATGAGGGCAGTCATAATACTTAAGGACTACATTTCAGGATCACACTGGGTCACCCCCTCGAAGGGAGGGTAAAAGAGTGGACTTACCGCTACTGAAAGGAGAAAAAAATCGTGGGAAGCGCCACTGTAGCTTTCCTTTTTATAGGCTGAGCGCCCAGAGCCAGACGAAGGACAATAAGCGTCCACATGGTGAAGGTAGATGTCTCACAATAGCATGCTACGAGACCAACACTCATAAAATGAAGCCTTCTTCTGTTGGTTTCTGGGTACACTGAGCAGAGTTTTCAAGTTTCAATGGAATGTCACATAGCCTGAGCGCAAGGCGCTTGGAAACGCGTAGTGTAGCGCCCATTTGGAAGTACAGAGTAAAGGTTGAGGGGGAGGGATTTGTATGAAGCCTTGCTACGGTCGCGTCAAGCGAAGCTTTAACCACAACGCCGCCTCCCCCACCCCGCTCTCGAATAGCATAACTAGCTTGTTAAATTTGAGCTACGCAATCTTCTTGGCTCAGGGCATGATTATCTGTATGCAGATCAAAAATTGAACGCCACTTCTGCTCGTGAAGGCACTGATCACCATGGCTGGAGGGCGGCGCTGCTCTGACGTCATTGAACGTCGTTGTGAGCTAGAGCTCTCAGCGCATTAGGGTTATGGATGGGACCGCCTCAGCATTCCCATGAGGTCTTTTAATGGCGTCAAAAAACCCCACCGTTCTCCAACCATTGTGACCCTAGCTTTTGACAGCGCCTTAAATGAGTAAGGAAGAAGTGTGGTGGTCAGGACATTCACGGTGCGCACCTTTCGAGCACATCAAATGGGACCGTGTAAAAAGAAGACAATTATTAGAAAACGCCATCTAGAAAGGAAAGGAGTCGCTTCCCCTACCCACCTTCTCCATCGCTATAAGAGTATACGATGGAACCGTCTGAGACAGAAACACTCATATGTTTCTTGGATTCAGGATCGTAGTCGGACGCTACATATAACAGCATACGATTGTGTTCCACGTCTTCAGGTTTGAGATCCATGGAGACCTAGAAAACCAAGAGGCTTTCTCCATCGCTGATAAGAAAAGACGCCTTTCGAAATTACCTGGAAATGATCCAAACTTTTCGGACTAGGCATTGCCATAAAGGACGTATCGGCTTTAAAGCCTATATCGCTTACTGAAGATTGCACTGGTACTTCACATCTGAAAATCGAAAAAAAACCGCTTTTTTCCAAAGCTCCAGGTTTCATCCACAATACCGTAATCCAGTGGCGTTTAATGGACAGACACAGTACCAGGTATCCCCGTCCTCTTCACATATACCAGAATTACAGTCCTCTGAAATATCACAGTATGTACTTTACAATTATTATAGTTGAGAACTACTTACAGATGACTTAGTAGCTCTCACCGTTTCTACAGAAGGAAGATCTCCTCTCACAGTGCTCACCAGCGTACTCTATCGGACAGACGCACTCGTAACCCTGAAAGAATTTCGTACTTGGCGAGCCCATTTACTAACCTGATCACCTCTTTCTCGTCGTGAATAACCTCATAAGGAACGCCTATAGGAAGGAGTCAGGGTCGAAGTGACTAGCTGTAGTAAGAAATACATCAGTGTGTCCTTTGACGCGGATCTTGAATCTGCATTCCTATGACTCAAGGCTTAACTCTCAGAAGGTGGTTACCAAGGGCAAAGGGACAATAGTGGCGGTCTTGGCTTACAGAAAAGAGGTTGCAGGATCGATTCCTTGAAACGTTTTACTGCTTT